AACTTGTTGTTTTAATTTATTTGTTTGATAATTCATATGTTGCTGTATTGGAAGGAAACAGTGTCAAAAAGAATTTCTTACCATTGCATCATGAAAATCGTTTTTGACAATTTTTCTTTTAGATAATAGTAGAAAGATTTTCTGCAATCTTGCAAAGTATGCCTTCATCACCAAGTAAATATAAAGATTGATGTATGTATTTATACCGAAAACGATAATAGATGGTTACAAGATCGAATTCACTCAAGTGTTAAGCGAATCCTGCCGACAAGCATTACTTGTATTAAGCATACTCCTTTCGAACTTTAATGATAATTATTTCTTTTTGGTCGTTTTTATTTCGAAAACTCCTTTACTGAAATAATTTGTTATTATTTTCGAATTCTAGAGAGTTGTTTAATGATTTGATTTGCTTTCTATCTAGATAATTTTAGTATTATACTATATAATAATGTAGTTCTAGATTCTTAAGATACCTGATAAGCCCCTTAAGCAAGGACGAAACGTCGTGATAGGCTTTGAGTCCATCATTATTAAACACATCCTCACACCCTCACCCTCTAACGACAGAAAAATCATAATTTTAGTTACATGGAAAAAATAAAATATGGAAACAGATTGTCCTAAAACGGTTATCCAGCACAGCATCGAAGAAACCTCATCAGTTTTAAACAGTTTATGAGAACCATCCCTTGAAAGTACGCCATGCACTTTTAAATGTGTTTTTAACAGCATTATATACTTGAGAAGCCTTCTCAGCAATCCAACTTTTGATTCGTTGAAAACGACTCTTCACCTTAGTAAATGTTTGATCGTAGGACTCTTCTACTTTTTCAATGGCCTGAGCACTGTGATCAAGCAGCATTTTATATCCTTGCTTTTTCAATGCGTAGTGCTTGTCACCTTGTTGCGGAGCTTTGGAGTGCGCAACATTCATGACACTTGTCTTAAATTCAGTTACGCTTTCTTTAACATTATCAGAAGCGCTAAAAAAAGCTTTCATAACACCGTCTAGCTCTGGATCAGAAACAGCGCTTCGATTGTTAAAACGCTCCAGTGCTCTCACTTGGCTTTGAACAAAGTTTTCTCTCCTGCTCACAAAATTGTGGTCGTCTACAACTGACTGAATAATTTGCTTTTCTTCCTCCTCAGTTTGTCGTTGTTGTTTCAACTTTAGCCGCCTTTTTTGCTCTTGTTCAAAGCATAAGTTCGGATAACACTGTTACGCAAATTAAGTGACATGTTGATGTCTCGTTGCGATGATGGCGGTATTTTTGAACATGTATGAAGGCACGTTGTTGTCGTTCTTGTTCAATTCTTTGTTGTCGTTCTTGCTCAATTCTTTTTTGTCGTTCTTGCTCAATTCTTTGTGGTCGTTCTTGCTCAATTCTTTGTTGTTGCACCTGCAAGGCATATTGCTGTTGCAGACTTTGTTTTTGAGAATTATAATGTTGCTGGGAATAGTAATCTTGGGGAGGTGCTTCATAATAACCATACGATTGCATCGGATAGCTTGGTCCGCCATTATTGTAATTCTGATAAGATGGCATAGGGTTCGAGTTTACGTTGTACGGGTAGGATGAATTATTGTAATAGCAGTTTGAATAGGCGTAAGGTACATAGTTGTACACCGGCTGTACATAATATTGAGGAGCTGGATAGTAGTTATTGTTATAAGGATACATGATTATCTAAAACGATTCAAGTAAATTACACAACAGAAGTACATCTAGGATTGATGGAGTTGATTGTTCTAATTCAATCCATTTAGGTTATTAAAATGTTATAGCGTGGAAAGATCCATAACTAAAAAAGAAATATTACAAAAGAGTTTTTATTGGAATGCGTTACAGTTAAAAGCAGAGGAACTTGGCGGATGATTGGTAAAAAGTGCTTTACTGTCATCATTTTGATTCTTTGTCTTTTGCTCTGCCATCGATCTCCTCAATCATTCGATCGAGTTTTTCCAACATTGGTGCCCATGCTGCTTTGATGTAATCGTCTACATATTTTGCAAAAGCATCGCTGATTTTTTGAGGATCTTTGCCATCGCAGATTCCCTCCCATAAGTTTTCAATGAAGAGCCGAAAACTAGTAAGTAGGTCCGTAGTTGTTCTTTTCATATGCTCCATCATGAGGGTAGCTCCTTTCACCATTTCTATGTACAGTCTGCGCTTTGCTTCATATTCAGGATCATTAGTGTTGGGTCGAGCTTCCATGACAAGATCCAGAAAATCATCCACATGACTTACAATCGTGTGTTCGAAATCATCACATGCTTGTGCGAAGCATTGAGCAGGATCCTCAGGTTTTCCTTTCTTCTTTCTACGATCATTTAGCTTAAGAATGAGGGTAGGAAGTGCTTGACGAACTTCATGAGTAACTTTCGCTATGACTGTCTGAAAAGTAAATAAAACGTTTCAGACTTCTACAACATGTCAAATAAAGAATTCTTTTGTGGAAATTAGGTATCTTCTCAACGAAAACAAATTAGTTCTGATTTAAATCGACACTTTTATCGCTATCTCTCATATCTCCCATTATAGATGTTAATAGCCGTTCTTCTTGAAGACTGCCAGGCGGAGAGTTTGGAAGCCAGAAAGCGTTCAATATGTTCCTATGGCAGCGGAAAAAGCTATATGTAAGTAGTATCGGTACTTAAATCATTCTGAAAGTCTGTACATTATAAGTTGTCTAAACATTGCAACTTTCGTTTTTTAACGTAGCGATAGTATCCATTTTTATAGGTATCAGTGAATAGAATTGTGTGGTTTTTGATCTAGCGGAGTAAAAATAGGACGAACATAGAGATATATGCGCCAATCGAATTCCCAATTTAGACGAAACGGGTTTAAATCAGTCAAGAAAAACAATGGTATACTCTTAATTTTACTAAACGATAATATTAATGTGAGTAACAAGTCAATATAGCAGTTACACCGACGAAAAGAAGAGTAAAATCCCTACTGCTGCCTTCTGTTGACTCTATAACATGCATATTATTATTAGATAAATCATAGTTATTTATGAAGTTGTATAAAATAATAATAATAAGTTTCTATAGTTTAACAATACATGAGGAGTCAAATGGATAGGCAGAAAAGTATTTACAAATGTGAACATTTTGAAAGCAATGGTATTTCAAAGCACAGTTGGCAACTATGATAACTATTGCAATTTTGATTCACTCATTTCACATTTTTCGTTGATAAATTTAAAATTTCTGAAAATACATCCTTTTTAAATCAGTGAGTTTGCTAGTTTTACACTATGGCTTCTCTCTGGGTGCCACTAATAAATCTTCATAAGTATACAACTAATTTATCATTCTCCTATCGAAAGATGATTTTCCACATCTATTAGGCTCCAGAGTTGCAACCGGTAGGGATTTTTCTAGACTGGTACCGGTATCTGTCTAAATCGGCCAGACCGGACAGGACCGGCCGGTAGACCGGTATGAGTTACAGTAGTTTTTTTGATCGTATATGAGTCATCATTGACTTTTTTCATCGAATATCAGTCATATCTTACTCTAAATCATTACACACATTATTTAAGACTTCTCTCTCATCACTAAAAAATCTTCCTACGACATAATTATAGATACAAACAGAAGAATATGGCAGAAAAGCGTAATCCTATCTTCCTAACTAGCTCCAAAGATCGTGAAAGGCCTGCCTCTTGATACTCTCTTGGTCTGAAGAAAGAGATTTCGATGTCTAAAACGACTTGATAGTTTTTAGTAATGCAGACTTTTGCTCCCGGCATAATATGTGATCTACATAATGAAGTTCGCTAAAAGATAGCAGCACAGAACCCTCATTTCTACATATTGAGCAGCTAGACCAAAAGTGTCCATTGAAAACTATTGACTATACAAAGTCTAGTATGAAAATCTGTCGGAAACATATGAATTTTGGTTCATTTCATTAAGACTGCCTAGGAATAAAGACCGAATGCTTCATTTTACTCCACTACTACTTAAATCTTCAAGAGCAATGCAATTCTAGGGGTTCAATCTCATATAATATGAAATAAAATAGATTCATACTAGCATACTATTCTGGCATTTTGATATAATACTGGAAACAAATATAAAGCTCTAGATCAGAGCGCTGACGGAAGTACATAGCATACAAAATGCAGAATAGAAGTAAGTATTTAAGGCCCCCCCATCCCTCAAAAAAAGTCCATTTTCGTGAAAAATTTCGAAAATGAGATAAATAGATGGGGAGATAGCCCGTCTTCCGCTCTTTCAGAAATGCTAAAGGCTTTTCTCCCAAAACCCCTTTTTTGGCTGAAAATCTCGAGGTTTTCTGTAAGCCCCTGCAGAAAAAAAATTTCTATGGAAAAAACGAATTTCAAGGTTTTTTCTAAAAAAGTAAATATTCTTATAGATTTTAAAGAATTACTAAAATTCGGTAAAAATGAAAACATTTTGAAAAAATTTTTCGCAAAAATGTATTTTGATTTTTCTCAGTTTTCACTTTCACAAAAAGGCATCCCAAATATCTCAACGTTGGTTCTATCGACATAATTTTTTTTCTTTCTTGTTGGAAAGAGAGTCTCAAGACGGAGGGCCCATGGCCGCCCTTTTTTTGAATTAAGCCTTTGTTTGGTCAATATACAGTCATTTATATGATTTTACTACAGTTTTTTGACACTTTTTTGAGCCATTGACCTTCTGGTCCCCTTTTCGCGCTTAAAAAAGGCTTAATTCAAAAAAAGGGCGAACATGGGCCCTCCGCCTTGAGACGATCTTTCCAACAAGAAATAAAAAAAAATATGTTGATAGAACCAGTGCTGAGATATTTGGGATGCCAAATGAGCCATTTTTGACCCTTTTTTGATTCATATCTCCTGAAAACCTGAAGATTTCGGGCTGAAAATTTAATAGTTATCTTCTGCTCCTAACCCCAACATATCCTGAAAGTTTCATCTAATTTGGACGTTCCTAGGCTGAAATAGACTTTTGAGAGGTAGGGGGGGGGTTAATAAACTGCAACGATAAAGCGTGAATGCGTTTTTTTATTTTACTATGGAACTTGATAGAGCAGTCATTTGAAAACATATTTAAGATCTATTTTAACAAATATTGATTTAATATAAACAATCTATCTCATAATTTTTCTTAGAAATCGCTATTATTGTCATAAAAACTAGCTTGATATGTAAAAATAAACATCTTTAGCATCTATTTTTGCAAAAACTAAGGAAAAAGAGCAAAAATAATTCAAAAACATCTAGAATGATCGGTATACCTGCCGGTAAGGAATCCTAGACCGGACCGGACCGGCCGTTTACCGTTTCCGGTTATAACTCTGTATCAGGCATGGCAAAATCAGTACAAAGTGCCCTCCCTGGCCATTCAACTTGAGTCGTAAACGGTCCTTTGAGCATAATTACGGTGATCTGCGGTCAGAAATGGTATAAAACGGTAGTATATGTTGTCGTATGCGACTGTTTATAGCCTATCAGGTCATCTTAATGCTCCTCCTGGGTACCAAACGGGTGATTTACAGGCCGTATACAGTCGTATACATCGGTGTATACGGCTGTATACGATCGTTTACCGTATTCTTTTTGCTCGGATGGGAATCTTTCCACGGAAATAGGGTCAACAGTTTCTATGTTTTGCGCTAAAATTAATATCCTATGCCTACCGTTGCTGCTCCATTACTACCATTTGCTCCATTCTGTTGATATTCAATGTTCCTTTGCTCGTGTTGATTTTGATCATTTGCTAAAATACCAGACGAAGTGTGACTGCGCACATTATTTCTATTTGACTCTATTGAAGCCAATTCATTACTATTGGTTCCAGGACGAAACAAAGATCGTCTGTTCGGACCTTCCATAGTTGGTTGAGACTGAAAATAAAATTAGCACTTTTTAAAACTTATCAATGATATAGCACTTACATTGACAATATTTTTATTCTTGGCATCTTCTTCGCTTTGATAGGCCATTGTAATCGTTTAACTCTACGATGATTCCCGCATTAAGATTTAAAGTAATACTGCATACTTTTTTCTTACTTTAATACGTTTGTTAGTTGAGTGATGATACAAATGATTATCTGAAAAGGAAAAATACTATAAAAGAGGCCATCTTTCAAAGTCAAGGAGTCATTTTCGAAATGAAGATTATATATGCATTAAACTTCATTTAGATCAGTGAGGTATCTGTCCATATGTGTGACCTGTGAAATGACCCAAAATAGGAAACACTACATCTTTAAAAATGACTCCAATAGTGCGAACGATGTTTGGCAAATTATCACGAATCCAACGTGCGATTCTCTTGACTACGTCCTTGATTTTGGAGAAGAGCCGACTGAAAGTGCCTTTTAATCCTGTCATTCCCTCTGTGGCATGTTTTGTGAATTGTATAAATTCTCTTCTTTTACGTTCATAGTCCGTATCATTTGTTCGAGGCTGTCTAGTCAGTACGTATTGTTTTATATCATCCACTTGATTATGAACATCGTTCTCAAGACTTTCAGATTGATGTACCAACGCTTCTTCATATTCATCCACGGGTTCCCGGTGTGCTCTTTTTTTGGCATAATTCTCTATGCCACCTACACCAACTTCAGCGGTGTTCCGAATACCATTAATACGAGAATCGATCGAAGACAACGAATAAGCCATATCAAAACTTCACAAAAAAGTTTCTGTAGGTTATCTAAAAACTTTATTCTTTAATAGAACGCCAACTCTGATATCTCAAAAGAAAATAAAACGTTACGAAATTATGCCTCTTACAACCTGAGTAACAGCGCTTTTATACTCAGTAAAATCATTTCTTCCAACATAGCATGACCTTCATCTAAATTCTACATGGTGCACACACATTCATGGTAAAGTAAGCCCGTTGGGCTTCACTTATATCGCTATAGTTGTCATCCAATCAAAAGACTTCCTAAATGCGTCATGATTTGGATGCACTCGGCTTTCTTTTAGAAAACAGAGACAGTAAACATTAATCAAACTATTGTTTCCATGGTAGCGCTATTCAACAAAAACATTTTCGTTCCTCGAAATCCATGATGAAATGTCCTCATTCTCTCCATCTACCACTGACGCAACAAAATGAATATTCATTCTTATTGCGTATTGCTCTCTACTAACTCAGAAAAAGAAATAGTGACGCGCAATGAGTCATAAAATCACAGAACATTTACAGCGTACTCAGCAGTGCAAACACACTTTATTGATCTTTCTCTCACTTTAGTTGGATTTATCCAACTTCTTATTCACCCTCAATGCATCTCACCCAAACTTCATTCCGTCTATGAATGAACAAATTCCAGCTTCGCCGACGATTATTTTCGTCGACGCGGACTTCGCCAAATAAATTGCTCTTCGAAAAAAACCGAATAAAATATGATCCATTCTAAGTATATAATTTTATCCTAACTAGCCAGTTAAAAAGTGAATCGCTTAATTAGTTCCATCTGGATTGGTAGCTAATTGCTTTTTTTTAATCATCTGCTTTGGGTAGTTGGTGTAAACAGCAGCCAAGACTGGTTTCATCCTTGCTTAAGGGAATCATCAGTTGGCAAATAATTTCTATGATTAAAAAATCAAAAAATCAAAAAATTAAATTATTCTGTTATATAGAAAATTTTCAAAACAAAAATCAACTATATAATGATAATAACCAGATACAGTGGTGTGAACATCGACAATAGTGAAAGAGATTTCATTTTCCGTGTTTGAATGTCCATCATTTTTTTTTGTTGAGATCATTTGTAGATGTATATCTGAAATAAAAAAATAAATTTAGAACTTTATTGGAAATTGTATCGGATTGAATTTTGAATCAGTGTCATTTATATTTTTATTTATTTTGTAAGATGTATGAATAAATTATTGATATTGATTTTTTTTCGAAATGTTTTTGAATATTCTTTTATTGTTTGGTGGATTGCTCGTTCCTAGAAGAGAATCTTGTTTGTTTATTGATTGGCGGTGGATGTACACTGTAAAAAAAACCGTAGAATAATAAACGAAAAAAGGGTTTATGAAAGTGCAACGTGTAGCAAACCCTTTTCAACCGTTTATCAACGAGTCATAAACCCTGTCATAAACCCTCTAAAAAGGGTTTAATACGGAGTTTATTATCTTTAAATATGCTTTCTGGAAGGTTTATTACAAGGTTGATTAAATTCATAAATGCTTAAAGGGATTGCGACACGTTGCATTTTCATAAACCCCTGAAAATGGTTGATAATTCACATAAACGTTCTCATATAACCTTCGAAACTCGGTCTAAAAATGGTTGATTAAAATACTATACCCATAAGCCCCTCTCAGAAACGCTATTGAAAAGCGTTTATGGACATCATGAATGGTCGCCAGTGTTTGTGAGAGGGTATATAGAACCAATTATGGACCTCATAAACTGCCTCAAGGGTTTATGATAAGGTTTATGAAGGCGATTGTGGACCCCATAAACTACTTCAAGGGTTTATGATAAGGTTTATGAAGGCGATTATGAACCTCATCAACTGCCTCAAGTGTTTATCAGAAGGTTTATGAAGGCGATTATGGACCACATAAACTGCCTCAAGGGTTTATCAGAAGGTTTATGAAGGCGAGTGTGGACCTCCAGTATCGTTTTCAGTGAGAATATTAGGATAAATAGAGTGATTCAAGAGTACAATGAATTACTTCCAAGGGTCGGACAATAACTGAATACTTTGTTTTCTCACCTTGGTTGATGATAGACAAATGTTTACGAAGAGAGATATGCTGAATAATTTGTAGTTTTTATACTTATATGTATCTAATACTCGCTATCTATGGCATTTTATAATAATTAATAAGAGGATGGTAGACTCCCCGAGATTGGAAGAAACCATATACGTTATTTTCTCTACGTTTTGAGCTTCATATTTGTCAAAAAAATTTTACTCTATATTGTCTTAGAATCCAATACTCACTCAGTGAGAAACGAGCGAAACTAGAAAACCTGAAGATAATTCGATCGAGAATCAAAATCAAGCGTGACCACGGGAGATAAAATCAAGAAGATTAAAAGGAATCGTAGGGATATCTTTCTAGCAGCGACTAATCAGTACAAACAGGATAGTTAAATTAACATAAAACTGAGTGAGTAACCTGGGGAATGATTTTAAGTGGTTACTTCAGATGAATTCTCTGTGATGTCACACGAAAACGTTTACTCACTTCTATTGGCGTTGGCCGCTTCCGATATTCTCACATAAGATATTAAGGAAATAGCATTTGTAATTCAGCATATTCTGTATTTAATTTCAAGACTTTGTTTGACGAAACCTAAACATAAAAGCGTGAGTTATTAATAGATGACGATTTTCTCTTAAAACAACTCTGATTAAATTGAAAACTTACTAGAAATCAGTACATTGCAGCTACCAATTGACAACAATCGCTGACGTGCATTGTGAAACGCATCTGAAAGTTCAAAGTAACTGTCACTCACCCATATGCGAAACCTTTCTATTGAATCCATGATCGTAATTCCATTAATTGATAGAAGAGATCAAATCCAAAGGCCTAAAAGAAAAATTATTAAAAAGTGAGCAAGAATCGAATATTAATAACATATTATAAAACACTCAAGTTATCAAGTATCTCGTCTGAATATGTAAAGGGTGTGCGCCTTCATCGAAACTTAAATTTTACACATGAAATGCTATTTTCAACTACATAATGCTACACTCTAAAAAAAATAGGTTTTTTACCGAACCTAAAAAGGGTCTTCCCGCGGATACACGGGAAGATCCTTTATTGGTTTCGCAGAAAATTGGTTTCGCATAAAACCGCTTCAAAACCATTCAAAAAAACGGTTCTGTAGCAATGGTTTCGTACAAAACCTTTCAAAAGCAATTGAAAAAAAAGGTTTCGTACAAACCCTCTTAAAAAAAATCGAAAAAAGGTTTCGCAGCAATGGTTTCGTACAAAACCTTTCAAAAGCAATTCAAAAAAGGTTTCGTACAAACTGATTAGCACCAAACCTTCTTCTAATTGTCCGCTCTGCCAAATTTCATTTAACCTTCGGGCGCCGACCGCGGTATGGATACCATTCCCAGTGTTTCTCAAAACCCAAGAATGACATATATTCAAATCAATCAAAAGTAAGTGGAAATAATCTATAGAGCAATTTTCTGTTATCGATGTAAACGGTTACTCTATAGACTATGTTCATTTCCCTTTGATTGATTTGAATATATGTCATTCCTGGACTTTGAGAAACACTGGAAATGGTATACATACAGCGATCGGCATCCGAAGATTGAATGAAGCCCATCGATGATTTTCCTAGTTGAAACAATCTATAACATAGAAATAGAAAAAAAATAAGTACAAGGATTTCACAAGTTTAAACTTACCCCTTTATTTCCGCACTTGAATCAACCTACAATAAAAAACCGAAAAAATGACGAAGTTTCAAAAGGTGAAACTTACCTAAAAACTGCATCCAAACATAAACATGCAATAACAATATTAACAAATATAATAAATTCATAAGATCAAGCTTACCTAAAACTTCACATACAGATCAACCTAGAACACAAAAATTAAACCAATTTATGAGATTTCATAAAATCAAACTTACCCCGCCATTGCATATTTCGAGGAAACAATAATTAAGCTAAACAAATTTGCCTCATTTTTCCGAATCAAGTTTACTTCGAATGCTAATATGAGTGAATCTATAATATAAAGAATATATTAATTAATTTTCACCATATCAACCTTATTTACGAATTTCCCTGCATTTGAAATAAAAAAGCTACCTCTACAGTTTTTGGCGCTGGGAGAGACCAATTTTCTCACCCATGCGAACTGGACGGGGAATTCTGACCACATATTCGGGTTCCTGGACCTCGATAACCTACTGCAAACTTACCTCAGAATTTAGCTCCAAGTTGAAATAAAAGAGCAATCTCTACAGCTTTTGGCACCGGGAGGGACCAATTTTCTCACCCATGCGAACTGGACGAGGAATTCTGGCCACATATTCGGGTTGCTCGACCTCGATAACCTAAAGGAAAGTGTCGTGAAAAGAGAGAAAGCTCTTAAAGTAAGTTAGCCACTACGATAGATTGTGTTGACTTCGGTGCATGGATTGGCTGGAATTTTTTAATGTGTTTGGTGGGAGCCACCTTATCGTGGACCGAACGAAGCCCATCTGACCCGAATACTAAACTCGGCATGATTGAAAGAAAGGAAGACCACTATCGGCATGGCGGAGAACCATATGCTCTTTGGTGTTTTTATGGGAAATTTATGAAAACAATTAACGGAACCGTTGTGATTTAGTATGAAATGTACGAAACCTTCAAATAACGTTGGAGCCTATGAAGCGTTTTGTTCGAAATGCACTAAATCGTGTAGCCGTCCAGAACATTGGAAGAGTTCGTGCCCAAAAATACAGATGCTACGGATGCGTAACGATACTATTGGTGGCTTCGTGTAAAATGTACCAAACCATATAGGCATATAGAAACTGTCGAGAAGTTTCGCGCAAAAATTGCGAAACCTTCGGATTATTAACGAAACTGTCGGTGGCTGCGTATCAAACACGAGGAACTATTTTTTTAATGAACGAAGCAACAATGGTTCTGTCGGGATATTAGGAAACCTTAGATCATTTTAGG